ATGTGTGCTCAATGGAGAGACAGAGAGACAGAAAGAGAGACCTTACCCTCCAGAGGGAATGGGCATGCCACAATCCTTTCTCCTTCATTCTACCGTCTGGATCTTGGGCAAGAATGCACACGTGCCTGGTGTGAGTTTTAAGTCACCAGGTCTAGGACTTGAACCCAGTCGACCACAGGGGAGTCCAGGAACATAACTATCACGCCATCTGCTGATCCCTTTATCTACCATTCATAATCTCTCTAAGCACAATGGTCTTTTCTGAGCCTCTCATACAAGTCAAGTTCCTCTACCTTAAGCCTCCATTTACACTGTTTCCCTAGCTGAATCATTTCTAATCATCCTTTCCCCCATAGCATTCATCAGATGTTATTTCCTAAAATAAACCTTTCTAGGCCTTTCAATCCAGGCCAGGTTCCCCTTATCTACATAGTTAAAGTGAACTTTATCCTATTAAAGAATTTAACACATCATAACTATTGGGTTGTTGGAAATCATGATGCAGTCTTTTTTTTTTTTTTGAGAGGTTTTTGCTATAGGGCGTGTGCACTTGCCAGCCAGACAGAGAGAGACAGAGAGATAGAAAGCGAGAAATCACCCCCGAGAGGGGATGGCCATGCCACAATCCCTTCTCCTCCATTCTCCTCTTGGGATCTTAGGCACGCACGCACTCATGCTCGGCGTGAATTTAAGCCACCGGGTCCGGGACTCGAACCACGGTCGACTACATGGGAGTCCAGAGACATAGCCATTACGGTAACTGCTGGTCCCCATGATGCGGTTTTGTATAGAAAACCATGTCACGACTTTTCCAATAATTTAATAAATATCTGTCACATGTTGTTTAACATCTGCCTACCCCACAAGTTAGTGAGCTCCACAGAACAGGAGCCAGGCAGAAATGGATCCTTTTTTAAAAATTATTTATTTAATTTTATTTATCATTATTATTATTATTTACTTTGCTACAGGGTATGATGCTCACCAGAGAGAGACAGATGGGGAGAGAGAGAGAAAGCAAGTCACGGTTCCAGGACTCAAACCATGGTCAGCCATGTGGGAGTAAAGTGCCTTAACCACCACCCCACCTGCTGGCCCCTGAAATGGATCTTTTAGGAATAGAAATATTTTATTTAAAATTTAAGTTGTTTGTATTTCTAGCATCTATCAATAAATGCCCTGTCTCTCTGGAACTATTTACATTCACATAGATTCTCTCTCTTTCATCTCTCTTTCACACACACACATACACACACACACACACACACACGTCTCATACATGGATTCTGTATAGAAATTGTGGAAGTTAAGAGAAATAGTCAGGTTTCATGTTAGGGTTGAAGCAGTATCAGAAAAGGAACAAGAGAAGCCTAATACTAAGACAGTCACCTGACAGTAGTAGTTTAGCAGAAGCCAAAGCTTACAGCTGGGAATGACCATAAAAATGTAAGCCCTGGGCCAACAGGTGATTTAGACCTCTGATACCACATGACTGATTGTGCAGTTCAAGTCTCAAAAACATGCCAGGAGTGTGTGGGTGCATTCCAAAAATCCCAAGAGGAAACTGGAGGATAAGGAATTGCAGTGTAGCCGTCCCTGCAGGGGGTGCTTTCTCACTTTTTCTTTCTCTGTCTCTCTTCAGTGAGCACCCGTACCTAGTGGAAAAAAAAAATCTTAAAATAAATTAGCCCGGTAGCCAGCCCCATAGTCTAATGGTTAAGGGAGCTGATCCCACAAGGCTGACAGTATTTGGGATCCACCCCAGCACCTTGAAAAATGTGCTGGAAACGGGTGCCTATGTGCTCCAAATCCCAAAAGAAATGGAGGACAAAAGAATGACTATGTCCGGTGGGGGGGTAGTTTCTCCCTCTTTCTCTCTTCTTTGTCTCTCTCTGATGAGTACTTGTGCCCTCTGGTAATTAAAAAAAAAAAAAAGTAAGCCCCTAGTCTTCAAAACTGATAGTACTACTGAATGAGGCACTAAATTTTCCAGTTTGACTTCTTTTTATCTTCAAATTTTAAGATGTAGGGAGATCTGAGCTGACATTTGTTACAATTTTAATTTATCTGTTTATGTATCAGTCAGTCCACTAGACAGTGAACTAGGACAAGTACCGTGTCATTCAACTTATGATCTCAAAGTTGGCACTCAAATGTTTACTGAATTAATTAATATATAATTCACTCTGGAGAATTAGAGATTTGATTTATTACTCCTCTTATGAGTCTGTAAATGTCCAGATTAATACAAAAAAAAAAAAAAACAGATTGCAAATGGTAGCATTTTAAGTATGAGATGCGATCAAGTGTGAGTGCCTTGCTGGCTATTCCAATTATTCATGCAGACAATCTCATTCTTTGCCTGTGAGCAAGGCCTGTTCTATTTATACCTGTAAAAAACTGGGAGTAGGTGGAAATTTTTAGAGGGTACATTCTCTTTGTGTATTAGTTATTATCTCTCCACTGACTCTATTGTTAATTTTTTCAACTATCATTAAAAATACAATACATCTCTTTACTATATTGAATTATGAGGAAAGCTGTCACCTCCTACATTATTCATAACTTGGCAAAAAGGAACACAAAAAGCTTCAGTAGTGCTGAAAAACTCTTTTTTGCATTTAAGTTTCAAATAGGTATTTTTATTTTATTTTATTTTTTGGAGAGGTTTTTTGCTATAGGGAGCGTGCACTCGCCAGAAAGACAGAGACAGAGAGATAGAAAGCGAGAAATCACTCCCCAGTGGGGATGGCCACACTGCAATCCCTTCCCCTCCATTCTCCTCTTGGGATCTTGGGCACGCATGCACATGCGCCCAGTGTGAGTTTAAGCCGCTGGGTCCAGGACTTGAACTGCGTTCAACTACGTGGGAGTCCAGCGACATAGCCATTACGCTAACTGCTGGTCCCATCAATTAGGTATTTTAAATATAACAAATAATAAATTATTTTTTAATCACTAAATAAATATAGCCTAGTGGATGAGTATCCCTAATCACCTATGTGATTTGATAAGGACTCTAAGAAAAAGCTTTTTTTTTTTTAAAGAATTATGTTCATTTTATTTTATTTATTATTTTTTTATTTGACCAGAGAGAGAGAGAGGGAAAGTGAGAAAGCAAGCTGCCAGGTCCAGGACTCAAATGACAGTCAGCCATGTTGGAGTCTAGCACCTTAACCACATGTGACCTGCTAGCCCCTAAGAAAAAGCTCTTAATCATCCACAATTGCTCCCTTTTGTTCTCAGTGATGTCTAATATTTTAGAGTTAGAAGTTCATTCCGTAAGAGTCTATCAGTTGAGATCAGAACACAGTGTAATGGTTATATCGCTGGACTCCCATATAACTGACTATGATTTGAGTCCCAGACACAGAGGCTTGAAACACACCCAGTGCCTGTGCTTGTGTCCAAAATCTGGAGAGGAGAATGAAGAAGGGATTTTGCAATGGCTACCTGCCTTGGGGAGGGTGGTGATTTCTCACTTTCTGTCTTTCTTTCTCTGACTCTCTAGTGAGCATATGTGCCCTATAAGGAAATCTCTTAAAAAAGAAAAAAAACTCTAACAGTTAAGGCCAGCTGGTGGAATGGTAGTTGGAGCACTGGACTCCCACAAGGCTGACCTCAGTTCAAGTCCCAGACCATAGTGGCTTGCTTTCTCACTTTCTCTCTCCCTCTCTGTTTCTCTCTAGTCAAATTAAAAATAATAAATTGAGACCAGCAGGTGGCGTGGTGGTTCAGGCACTGGACATTCCCACATGGCTAACCATGGTTTGCGTCGTGGCTTGGTTTCTCACTTTCTCTCACTCTCTTTAGGACAGTTATTTCTGCTTAAAAGTGTTATTGGGACCAGCAGTTTAGTGTAATGGCTATGTCACTGGACTCCCATGTAGTCAACTGTGGTTCGTGTCACGGACCTGGTGGCTTAAAACTCACACCGGGCATGTGTGCGTGCGTGCCCAAGATCCTGAGAGGAGAATGGAGGACAAGGGATTGCAGCGTGACCATCCCCTCTGGGGGGGTGATTTCTTGCTTTCTGTCTCTATGTCTCTGTCTGTCTGTCTGTCTGGCGAGCGCACGCACTCTATAGCGAAAACCTCTAAAAAAAAATTAAAATGAGTGAATAAAAAAATAAAATTAAATAATTATGGGCCAGCAGATGGCGTAATGGCTACTTTGCTGGACTCCCATGTAGTCTACTGCAGTTTGAGTCCTGGTCCCGGTTGCTTAAACTCACACTGGGCTTATGTGCATCCATGCCCAAGATCCCAAGAGTAGAGTGGAGGAGAAGGGATTGTGGTATGGCCATCTCCCCTGGGGCGATTTCTCGCTTTCTGTCTCTCACTGTCTTTCTGAAGAACGCATGCACCTTATAGCAAAAACCTCTCCAAAAAAACCAAAAATTAAATAATTCTTTAAAATATAATAATAAATAAAATTAAACAAATAATTCTTTTTAAAAAAGAATGATTCAATCTAATATAATTTAAATACTTCTAAAGATTATGTTTCTGGCAACAGTGATTCATCTACTTGCCAATATAGCCCTAGCTCCCAAGTACATCTTACATACAGAGAAAACTAAGGCAAGGGAAGGCATAACACTAACAATCTGCTAGTAAATGGGTTATCAAGTAGTGGGCCAATAAATACATGAAAGACATAAATATTTGACTGATAACTATCCCTGCAGTTCCTCCAGCTTGGGGTAGAACCTTTCTTCAGAATATTTTCCTTCAGGGGCCATTGCATTATCTGAATTTTCCAAGAAAAGCTATTGTAGTCTGCTTCCTTGAGCAGTATGATAAAAAGTCAATGTCTCTCTCAGATTTTGGCTAAAAGGATAATGGGCTGTTACCCTTTGCCAGAATCCCAACTTTCAAGAGATAAAAATGCTTAGGAGTTAGGCTGAGAGGAGAAAATCATCCCCAGACTTTAGGTTAGTCTCTATGATGTACAGAGTAGAATCCCCAAAGGAATTTAAGTTCTCGTAATTTTCTTACCTGGAGGTGTTTTGGTATCATTTCCCATAAAACTTCATGTAAAATACCAGGAAAATACTTCATCTTTTCTGTTCCAATTATCGTATTTCAACTTTTCCAGTTCAGTTGTCCACTTCCAGAGAGCCTGACATCACCTGGAACTGCTTGTTCTAGATCTAATGCTCAGGCTGATTCTTTTTCAGGTTTTTGCCCTGGGGCACGTGTGGTCGCTAGAGAGACAGTGATAAGGAAAATGAGAAATCAACCCTCCCCAGCCCTGCTCCCCAGGAACGATAACCACACCCAAATCCCTTCTTCTCCATTGTCCTTTTGGGATTTTGGGCAGGCACACACATGAGCCTGTTGTGATTTTCAAGTCACTGGGTCTAGGACTTGAACCACAGTTGGCCATGTGGGAATCTAGCACCTTAGCCACCTGTTGGTCCCAGGCTAATTCTTTCATATTGTCCTTGTAACTCATTTGGATCTAAGTCCCTTGACTTTTCCACTCTTTTTTTCCCTCTAATATGAAAAGACTTAAGACTTCAACCAATTTATACTTTAACCACTTTCTTTCAAATATTCTCAGTTATCTCTATCTAGAGAATTCAGTGACATAACTAAAACACTGGCAGGAAGAAGTGCTAAATAAACAGTAACTAACACCACTACTGTCACTACCACCAACATAAGTAATGTTCTCCTGTTCTTATTACTATACCAACCTGTAGGCCATACAATCCTGGGCTGCCAAACTTTACTGGAGAAAACAAGATACGTTATAGCTAGAAAGTAAAAGACGTGTCATGTTTCCAGCCTTAATTGCCAAGTAACACTAATATTTCTCTAATCAGTTCTATGAATTTGGGGATTACTCTAAGCCTTCTCCAATCTCCTCAGATCTACCCACCACTTCTCCCATAATTTTTTTTGGAGAGGTTTTTGCTATAGGATGTGTGTGCTCACCAGAAAGAGAGAGACAGAGAGACAGAAAGCGAGAAATCACCCCCCAGGGGGGATGGCCACACTGCAATCCCTTCTCCTCCATTCTCCTCTCAGGATCTTGGACACGCACACACAGGCCCCCGGCATGGGTTTAAGCCACCGGGTCCGGGACTCGAACTGCGATCGACTACATGGAAGTCCCTCTATATAGCCATTATGCCAACTGCTGGTCCCTCCCCCATAATTCTCATTCTCCTGTTTCATAGAAAAATAACCATCAGAACTTCTCCAGCTTCCATATCAAATCTACAAATCTGCAAAGTTGTACTTGCACCTCCTTCCCTGCTTTCCTCCCCTGACAATGGAAGCACAGTCTGGGTTACTCATAAGGGCCAGTGACTCACATTCTCTCCTACTCTTTGTCATCCTCACCAAGGTATCTTTTTTTTTTTTTTTGGAGAGATTTTCACTGTAGGGCGCGTGCGCTCGCCAGTCAGACAGAGAGAGACATAGAGACAGAAAGCGAGAAATCACCCCCCAGGGGGGATGGTCACGCTGCAATCCCTTCTCCTCCATTCTCCTCTCGGGATCTTGGGCACGCACGCACACGCGCCCGGCGTGAGTTTTAAGCCACCGGGTCCAGGACACGAACCGCAGTCGACTACGTGGGAATCCAGTGACATAGCCATTATGCTAACTGCTGGTTCCCCTCACCAAGGTATCTTCAATCTGTCTCCATTGGCTTCATCTCACCTGTATTTAAACATGTTTAAATATATCTTACTGGGACCAGCAGTTAGCGTAATGGCTATATCGCTGGACTCCCACGTAGTCGACCGCGGTTCACATCCTGGACCCGGTGGCTTAAAACTCACGCCGGGCGCGTGTGCGTGCGTGCCCAAGATCCCGAGAGGAGAATGGAGGAGAAGGGATTGTGGTGTGGCCATCCCCTCTGGGGGGTGATTTCTTGCTTTCTGCCTCTCTGTCTCTGTCTGGCGAGCGTACGCCCTATAGCGTAAACCTCTCCAAAATAAATAAATAAATATATATATCTTTTAAAAATCCCTCTTTGGCACCAGCAGGTGGTATGGTGGTTAAGGCACTGGATTCCCATGTGGGTGACCACGGTTAAAGTCCCAGACTGGAAGTTCGCTTTCTCACTTTCCCTCTCTCTCTCTGTCTCTCTCTGATGAATTAAAATAACAACAACAATAATAATGATGGATAAAAATGAAAAATAAAAAAATAAAAATTTCTTTTTTTTATTTTAAGTTTTTTCCTTAGGGCATAGTGCTCTATTGGGGTGGAAGGTGGGGAGAAGAGATAGACACAGTGAGAGGGTAATTGGGGAATCTCCCTCCCAGGGGGCATGGCCATACCACAGTCCCTTCTCCTCTATTCTCTTGGAATTTGGGGCATGCATGCACACACATTTGGCAAGTTTCAAGTCACTGGGTCCAGGACTTAAACAGTGGTTGACAATGTAGGAGTCTATTGACTTAACTGCTGCGCCATCTGCTGATCCCCAAATCCCTCTTTTATTTCAGGCACCTCCTTATCTCTTCCTTGTTTCCTCCCATATGTTTTAAAAAGGTAGTTCACATTTCCTGCTTTTACAAACTTCCCATTTGTCCTTTATCACGGTAGTCAGATTTCTAACACTGAAACTGTTTTTACCTGCTTTATTATTAAATCCTTTATCCACTAATCCCTTCTCAGATTTCATTTCATTTTTCCTGTCAACCATTTTTGGTAAGATTGATCACTTCGGCCATTTGAAACACTCTGATTTTAGTAATGACCATTTTCCTAGAACTCCTACACCTCTGATTGCTTCTTGTGAATATTTTTTGTGGTTTATCTCCCCTGTCTCTGTCTATCCTTAAAAGTGTCATTCTTCATAGGTCTGACAAGGGCTCTGTTCTTTTCCCCTGGTGTATATCTTTCACTCCTGCTCACTTGTTTGCTAACCCACACCCCAATTTTGATCACCCTCCTGATTCATACATACCTTGACATTTACCTGTCCCATAGGCATCCTGCCTCCACAACTGTCTCTGTTTGTTCCCTATCTCAGTGAAGGAATTCACTCCAACTTTCCAAGCCTGAAGTCTGGCCTCACCCTCTCTTCCCTCTCACTGTTCACATTCAATCAACTAGCATACAAGCCATTCTGCTGAAATAGCCCTCAAATTATTTCAACTGCTATCCAAGCCATCATTCTGTCACATTTTAAGGGATCCTGCAATTTCCAGTCTAATCGGTTCCAATCCATTCTCCACACAAAGCCTGCGTGACTCTTCAAAAATGTAAACTATATCATGCCACTCCTATGCTTAAATTCTTATCTCAAGTTTCCGTCTTTCCGATAAAGCTCAAAATTCCCTAGCATTTCTGTCTCATTTCTACACTCCCTTCTGCAATCTTTAGCCGTTTTGAACTTTCTGGAATTCCTAGAATACATGATACATGCTTGTAGCCTCAGAACTGTTCTCTCAGCTGAAATATAAATACATTCTCCTCTGGTGTTTTCAACTCAACTTTGCACTCAATCCATACAGCTTAAGTATCACTTATTGAAAACGACCTGACACCCTCAAGAGTTCCCAAGGCATCCCGCACTTAACTAGCAACTAAGTCTTGTAATTCACTAGTCCGTATCCCTTGGCTGTACGTTCAGGACTGCAGCAATCCGCTGCTCTAAAACAACCCATCTCAAGTGCTTAAAGAAGCCTCCGATACACAAAAGAATAGTTCAATTAGTATTTGTTGAATGAGTAACTAGTCCCTTCTTTGATGAGAGCGGCCAGGGCAATTCCTTAAAGATGGGGGCTTACAAGGGCAGAGTAAAAAATCTACAAGGGACAAGGGAGCTGGATACAAGGTAGGTAGGCTTTTCCATACACTCCTGTGTCCTGAAGGCTCAGGTTACTAGGCGTGGAGGCCACGACTACGGTCGGGAGGGCAGCCACAGGGAGCGCGCGACCACAGGCGAGCAGGACAATAGCTTGGAACCCAGCCTCGTGTTTCCGGTGGGCAGCCTCGCGCCGGGCCGCTGAGGGCCGGGGTGGGGGCTTGGAGCTGGCCCACGGCGAGGAAGGCACAGGCCCTGCCCTG